AAGGAAGGGACGGGAAAGAAACCTGCTTTTAGCATTCTATTTGTTATATCAGAGTTAGTTTTTTAGTTTTGCTTGTTTTAAACACAATGTCACTGTTGCTTGTGTTTTCTTTACTTTTTTTCTTTTCTTTTTGTCTTTACCCTCTGTTGAATAAGGAACTGGCTGGACAGCCGTGCTCAACGGGTGGTGGTCAATGGAGTGAAGTCCAGCTGGAGACCTGTTACAAGTGGTGTCCCCCAGGGGTCGGTACTGGGGCCCATCCTGTTTAATATCTTCATTGATGACTTAGATGAAGGGATTGAGTGTACCCTCAGTAAGTTTGCAGATGACACCAAGTTGGGAGGTTGTGTTGATCTGCCTGAGGGCAGGGAGGCCCTGCAGAGGGATCTAGATAAGCTGGATCGCTGGGCTGAGATGAATGGGATGAGGTTTAACAAGGCCAAGTGTCGGGTTCTGCACTTTGGGCACAACAACACCAGGCAGCGTTACAGGCTTGGGGATGAGTGGTTGGATGAGTGTGAAGAGGAAAGGGACCTGGGGGTGTTGGTTGATGCTCAGCTGAACATGAGCCGACAGTGTGCCCAGGTGACCAAGAGGGCCAACAGCATCCTGGCCTGCATTAGAAATAGTGTGGCCAGCAGGAGCAGGGAGGTGATCATCCCCCTCTACTCAGCACTGGTGAGGCCGCACCTCGAGTACTGTGTTCAGTTTTGGGCCCCTCACTACAGGAAAGACATTGAGGCCCTGGAGAGTGTCCAGAGAAGGGCAACGAAACTGGTGAGGGGTCTGGAGCACAAGTCTTATGAGGAGCGGCTGAGGGAGCTGGGATTGTTCAGTCTGGAGAAGAGGAGGCTCAGGGGAGACCTCATTGCTCTCTACAACCTCCTGAAGGGAGGCTGTGGTGCAAAAGGGTCTGGCCTCTTCTCCCAGGCAAATAGTAGGACCCGAGGAAATGGCCAGAAGTTATACCACAGGAGGTTTAGGTTGGATATTAGGAGAAACTTTTTCTCTCAAAGGGTGGTCAGGCACTGGAATGGCTGCCCAGGGAGGTGGTGGAGTCACTGTCCCTGGCAGTGTTCAAGAGGCGCCTGGATGAGGAGCTACGAGAGATGGTTTAGTGCTTGTGGCACTGATAGGAATGGGAGGGTGGTTGGACTGGATGATCTTGCAGGTCGTTTCCAACCTTGTGATTCTGTGATTCTGTGATTCTTCCCCATAAATGGGTTTCCATATCTATCACAGCACGATAGATAACAAGGAAAAACACTTATAAAGTAGGAAAAAACCATAAACTTTCCTAGTAGAATTGAAAGAGTGTTGCAATACAACATTTATTTTTGAATTAATAAAGGGACATCAGTGAAATTATAAACTAAAGATATAATAATTTTTTTCTAGCTTAAGATCAGAGAATTTGCCATATAAAGACTGCGTTAACCTCAGGAAGTTGGCTGCTAAACCAATTCAAGCTTCCTACATCAGTCAGCATCACATGAATACATGGCCTCTTTTTTCCTGTTCCTGTTGGACATTTTGTGTGACTTCAGTGGATGCATGAAGAACCTTGATACATTTCCCTACCAGTCAACATCTGCCAAATAATGTCAACAAAGGGGAAAAAACAAAGTAGTCACATATTTTAGGCATCTTTGAGATTCCATCATAGAATACTTCAGGGTCTACGTTACCACCAGGGCATCTGTAAATGTAGGACAGAACTGTAAGGATGAAAAATCTAATCAGAACTCTGGCTATTTTGAGAGAGGAAGCAGCACTAATTTAAGACAAATAATTTAGATTTTACATTGATGCACACAAATTTACCTCAAAGTCTTGATCGAATGCCACTGCAAAGATTAACACAAATTACCATCTCTATTTCGTCTGCTCTGCATCTTCACAAGGTCTGTATACAATACACACTTAACGAGGGGGGAAAAAATAAATCATAACTTTCTAACCTAAACTCATCGTCCCACACCCTTTAACTACAGGCAAAACATTATGAACAATTTCCTGGAGTAAGGTTTAGGTATCAGAATACACGCAGTGCGCATACTAAGGCTCTTCTTTGAGTGGCATGTACAAATCTGAGGGAATTAAACTGGAGCTTACTGGAACAAATGAAAATTGCTGATAAGAAGTTACTTATCTTTACAGTCAATTTCTACTCCTTACGGGCCAAGGAACAGCAGGAAGGGTAGAGAAGAGTTATCGCGTTTACAGATAAAATTCAAACACAAAATACATAGACTAGATGCATGGTAGTCTTGAGTCAAGCCAGGCCTTTCAGTTCAACTACCACACAATGCTGATCTGCTTATAACTTCAAGTCAATTTGAATGTGAAAGCAAAATAACTACACTTATACAGCATCAAACCTAACAACTCCAGCTTCTGCTCCCAAGAGAAAATTCATCCTATCTGTTCATCTTGGCTCCACACAGTCACACAGGATCACTCTGAAACTAACTACGGGTTTCACAGCAACGGGGTTCTTGTAAGCAAGACGCAGAGACCGACAGGACTGTGTTATTTTCCTGCCTCCAGTGACTTGTGCTGACATCGGTGTAATTTGCTTACAGAAGACGTCTCAGGTTAACAGAGAGATGATCAAGAAATACTATTGTTTGATTTTCTTACCACATCAGGAAAAATAATCTCTATGGTATGCTGGTGCCTGCCTTCCCCTCAAAAATATTTTCTTTGTAAGGGGAGACAGATAAAAACATTCCTGAAATGTTGGTACTGAATGTAACACTCAGAAACTCAGTTAAGTACCTTAAAATCAAACCTATTGAATGTACTGCAAAAAGGCAAATGTAGAGGATAAACATTCTAAAAAGTCTCCTATAAGTTATTACGAGTTTACTGAATATGCAATTTGAACATCTTCCTCCCCCCTCAAGCCCAATTACATCATATGCTCATACATGTTTTGCAATCATTAGCAAAAGCAGTTCTTGTCATGTCTGCCTTCAGATTTACAGGCCAACAATTTTAACCCGCAGTCATGGGAACCACCCTTCTCACTAAGAAGTCCACAAGAACGTACCTAAAAAATGTCAGTACACTATATACTATGTTTTAACATAACCTATACAGGAGAAATTTCTAAGTAACAATGCACCTATCATTGCAGTGTGTTGCAGACCACAAATTCAGTGCGGAAAACTTCTGTCCTGAACTGTCCTGCAGCCAACAGCTCAAAAACTTGAGCACCCCTACCTGCTTCCCTGCCTGCAATCTATCTTTCAAAAATCCATTCTAATTGGAGGCATGGGGTGTTACATGGAAAAAACAAAACAGTAAGAAAAATTTATTAAAATAATTCCACGTTTTACTAAATTTCAACTTTTTATCACTGCTCTGAGCACACTGACGTTTTAATGGAATATGCTAGGTATGATTCAAATATATAACAAAAGTTAACTATAGCATTTGTACATATATACATACGTATGCATCTACACACACACAGTAATCTGGAGCACATTTATATACACAGATTAAATACAACATATAAAAGGAATTCGAGTATTTATTTATTGCTGACTGCTTCCAAGAAGATAACACATCTTTAACCAGACCTAGAAGCAGAATACATGAATAAAATGACTAATCTTGCCCACAAGGAAGTTCCTTCTCCATTTCCCCCCAACATGCCTCACCATAGTACAGATTTTGCTAGGAGATTAAGAGGGATATCCAACTCCCAGGCATTACATCACTGAAGCTGTAGTCAGTAGTCATGCTCAGTAACAACTATGACTTCAAATTCAGACAACTGCTGGCTGCCGTTCTCTATGGTAACCTAACAGAAAAGTTAGCCGTCTATTTCAAATTTAGAATGAGACAAAAGAGGGGAGAAGGTTAAAAACAAACAAACAAAAAAACCAACAGTAAGATATTGCACACTCAGATTCAGTATAAACAATAGGGTACCATTAATGAACAACTCCTGTATACCACACAGAAGAAACAATTTGTTCTAGAAGAATCTGATTTCCCGCGCACTTGTAGTTTGTACTAAAGCATTCTCACAAGACCTCATGCTGTCTCTATCTCACAGCAATGTCCTCCTCCTTATCTTCCTCATCATAATGTGCCTTACCACAAGCCCCTCAATTCCCTCCTGTGCCAGCCTCACCGACATACACATTGTCAGCAGTCAGGTCCACCTCAGTTCCTTCTCACAGGTTGTCACGTAGCAAAAAAAAAAAAAAAAAAAAAAAAAGAAAACAAACAAACAAAACACCCAAAAAAGTACCTCTGTGGTTGGTTTGGAGTTGTACAAATGACAGTTGCCAGCACAAAGAACAAGGAATGGCTAAATATGCTGCCTCTTGACTCTCCCAGGACAATGCTCACAGCCGTCCCATCCCATTCAGGATTTTCATTGAGTTTCAAGTGAGAAGTTAATAAGTGTATCAAATTGAATTTTAAAGCTAGTCATCATTAAAGCAATTTATTAAAGAATCAAGGTTATTACAGCCAAACTACTAAAGGGTAAGGCTGCTCTTCATCCCACTTTGCTTTTAATCCAGCCCTCAATACAGTCAAAGCATACTTAAGAATACCCTGATACAACAAATGCAAAACTTTACAATCAAAGACCTCAGTTCTGTTTAGAATGACAAGCCAACTTCATAAACTAATCTTGATTTTGAGTTATAAAACAAAGAAAACTGCCACCTCCACTGGATTCGAGTTCCATGTAACAAAAACTTGAGTCTCCACCACTGAAGTATCAATTCTCCAGTATGCACATCATTACTTGCATTACCTCAACCCTAATCAGTGGATATAAGGCTGTACTTGATGAACTCAGCACAAGTCCAAAAGCAGTCTGTCAGCCAAAGCTTCTGCTACACGACAAGCCAGTTCCAGGCTCTCCCCCCCCCTTTGCCATCCCATCCAGGAGCACTGCTCTCATATATTCTTAAAAAGTGATGGTACTTATGCCGGACCATTAAAACACATGTAAGACTTCCCCTTACCTCTTCTCTCTCTTCACTCCTCCTTTTCGTCTCTCAGTGGAAGTTAAACAAAATATGGGACTAGGAAGAGAAAAAGAATGAGTGGTAGAGGGGAGACAAATGCAAATGCAGTTACAGAAATAATAAGAACCAATCTACTGAAATCTACCAAAGCAATTGCAAGCAGAGGCACACAGAAAAGAGCATGCTTGTAGATTTGTTCTTACACTTACAGAAAACCAATGCCCCAAATTAAAAATTAGCTGCCACTCCTCCAGTCTGCCTACTTATGCTCACTAAAGACTTGCCATACTTCTTAAAGCAAACCAGGCACAAAAGGCCCACCCACCTGAGCATTAACAATTATTTGAAGGGGAGAATCAAGACATTAAAATATACAAGAAGTGCAGTGTATGAAGGAGCTTAAGAGAAAAGACTACTTCTTGATAACAATATTGTTTACTGCTTTGAGAACCATACACTAATTTCAGCTATGTAACATTCATGTGTTGTACTGTATCACAAGATATAAAATTCAAATATTAAGAAAACTAACAAATCAATTTCCCTGCTAAAATATCTTGGTTTTAAGTCATCACTGCATCAGCTGCCTCCTTGCAAGCACTTTTCTCCATCTAATGAAAAATAACTGTTGATTAAATACACAGGCTTTTTTTTTTTTTTAAAAAAAAAAAAAAAAACTTACAGGGATTCCTTAAGAAAAAAAAACAAAATTCAAATCTGTTCCCAGAAGTTATTCTTCATCATTTCCAAGTATAAAACATTTCTGCAAGTACATACAGCCAGTTTTCCATACGCAAAGTCTGTAGGCAGTGTAAGTGTGAGAGCTAACTATAACGGCAGGTCAGCCACTGGAGGACTGAACTCAAAGGGCCACAATTTCTCACTTAAGGGAAGTCAGGCTTCTGGAGGGAGAGGGAAGGTGAGGCTACAAATACATACATGTAACAGCAGCTTAATCTCAGCATTTTGCTGACTTCACAATATCAAATAAAATAACTCACGTTTCTGTGCTGGATAGTAAGATTTGGAGGCCTACTGTAATTAGGTATCTACTATACACTAAGTAAATTGTTAACAGTTTGATTCAAAGTCTGACATTTCAACCAAACTAATTACTGTTTTGTTTTCACTGAGGTAGATTACAAGAAGAACAACAAAAAACAGTTCTCCTGTCTTATCAGTGACATTTGACTCGCATGAACAGCACAACAGGGCTTCCACTTTTAATTCTGCAAATAGTTTGTAGACATTCAACTGCCTGCTGCAGTTGCACACAGAAACCTAAGCACAGGCCAGGCAAAGCAGCACAGCAATCTTCCAAACAAACCTTAATTCTTTCCAGCAGATAAAAAAATCCTTTTTACACAATTTTAATCGCAAGTCAATCTGGACTGTATTTCTTGGCAACAACCTGGAGATATTTTGATGTTCTTTAGTGAGGTTTTGGGAGGGAGAAAGCAAGGGAACAGACAGGGGGAAAAAAGATGACTACACCATGTTCAAGGACAGCCACAAAAAACACTAGAGTCCGACATAAAAAATGAATAAAAACCACTTTATTTTCAATTGCAATCACCCTGCAAAAGTATACTGACTGATAGAAGAAACTTAAGAGATTCCACATTCGTACCCTCATACATTTGTGCTTTCAAGTAAGAGCTCAGTGTGTATTTTAATTGCAGCAACAAAGATAAGAAATGCACAATCTTGGAATAAACACAGCAAAGAGATTCTGTTCAGCAATAGAAGCACAAAATACAGCTTTCACCTCTGAATACTACTGCCACACAGAGGAAAAAAAGATGCAGAGCTTCTTTTATTGTTTCCAGGGAAGAGAATGTAAGTGACTGGAAATAAGGAGAGAGCACTGAACAGATGTCTGAATGCTTTGTATGTTTTTTTCTTCATCTTTAATCAATGAGAGTAACACCATTTTTGATAATGAATATTAAGATTCCCATCAAGCCTTCCTACTCCATTAAAAAACAAACAAACAAAAAAACCCAACCAATCCAAACTCACAGCTTTGATGAGACATCTGAAGGAGCAACTTATCTTCATGGACAGGAAGAGAGCTATTCTCATTTTTAAATCAATTATGTATAAAGTTAGTAGTAATTGCTTCACAGTTCTACACCACCTTCAGAAAGGGAATGAGCTGTAATCTCACCATACCTTCCCCAAGAAAACTTTAAATAAACTGTTATAATTCTCAACCCTTCACCTTCAGTTTCAGTAGTAATTCCCCAACCATACTTCATTCAAAAAAGTTTCTTCAAACCAACAGTTAAGACAGGATTAACTGTCTAGACTTGGAATATCAGCTGTCTTGTGATACTGAAACACAGTCCCATTATAACCATACTAATTAGGAGTTTGCTCCTTTGTCTACTCAAGGCAAAATAAGAGCATCACACTCTGTGAAAGGGGAAAAAAACCCAACGAACTATCTGTAGACATAGTCCAATTAGAACAGTTAAGAAATAATGAACACTGAATCAATTTAAACATTCAGAACTCCTCCGGTTACAAGAATCCAAACCTACATCCCATATACGCCCTCAATTCTCATTCTGGAAATATGGGATGGTCATTTAACCATTTTCCATATCACCTATTCATGAAAAATCAACAGTGCACAAGAGCCTATAGAGGCCTTTCTTTTAAAGCTGCAATCTAAATTACGATAACGTCATTAAAATCTACTCATGTAATACCTTCTTTGAACCTGAGAGTATTTCTTTCTAAGATAAAGACACCAAAGTGAATGATTACCTACATTATGGTGCCATAACACAACACACAGAATGCGACTACAGAGAACAAACTTCTTAAAAATCTTATCTGCACCTGAAATGTTACATTTCAATCCGTGCATCTTCCAAAAGCTGTTAACCTAAAACTAGAATCTCTCTTACTTTGGCGTTCCACCCTAGGCCTAATTTGCCAAACTGCTGGTCCCCTGCAAGCCTCATGTAAGTTTTACAACACTGCGTGTTAATCTAAGCTGTGTGTAAGCTATCACATGAAAGAAGAGAGAGCATTCCTTCAATAAAATATGCAAAACTAGGACATTTCACTTGCACAGGATGCAATCTGCATGCCACTGCCATTATTTTTCATTTGTGCTTTTGAAGCAAACAACTTCAGTGGACACCAATTTAACACAGGTCCTACAAATATTCTAATTTATTTAAAAAATCAACAGATAAAGCATTTAAGTCAGATGTTAAAAAATACATCTTGTACAACAAAACTCTCTTCAAAGGCTTACAGGCAGCCTCAATTATTAAAATCTTCTAACAACCTGCAGAATTTAAAATCCTGCCAGTTTCATTAACACATTAAGATTTGCAAAAGGAAAGAAAAATAATCTCAGTATCTGCTAGCAAATACATGAAACCTTGACAAAGCTTCTTTTAAATAAGCTCTTTGTTATGCCTTAAAGGTAACAACCGTTTTGTCTTTGAACTTGATTATAGCAGGCTTTTTTTGTAGGTCACGAGCAGAATTTTGGATCCTGAAAGAGATTAGGTCAACTTTTAAGGGTAAAGTTCTTCTAGTAAGCAGATGACTGCATGAAACATTCACCGTTCACCCTTAAAAAGCTCTTATTTATAATTGACGCTGCAAATAATCCAGAACTTAAAAGAATAAGGAACAAAAAGTGTTTTTTCTTTCCTTCCTTAATCCACATTCTACATCTGCTGAAGCAAGTAAGGTATCTCAGTTAAAAAAAAAAAAGAAGAAAAAAAAGCTATATTTCATTCTTAGCAATAAATCAAAACTACTGTTTGCACAGTGGAAACATCTGAACACAGTACCTGCTCCAGAAACACTGTCCAACAAAGTTTGCCTTTGCGAGGAATTCACAACTGACTGTTTGTATGGAAGTCACAAGACCAGCAGTATAGCTGGACTTGCTTAGGATCATCCGGAACTCTGAATCGGCTTTTATTTTATATCCACATCACTCTACTCAATTTTGTTTGATTTTTATGTGAAAATGGCAGAATTTTATATCCATCTGTTTAGAACAACGGCATGATTCCATGATTACATACATCATTCCTCAACTAAATCCCATAAGCACTCTTACTAAAATTAAGATTGTTCTTAAATCGAACCGGGATCAGCCTTCCAAGTGCACAGCCTCCATCCGGCACGACGCCCATCACTGCACTTCAGCAGAATTATTAATCCAGTTGTGTGACTGAAACCTAACCAGAGATTTGAGGTAATGGAACTCCAAACAGTAATCTGAATTTCTGTACTAAAAGAAACTTCCCCTAAGCGCAGCTTCAAAAGGCAGCGTTTTTTCCTCTTTGAAGCTTCTGAGATGGCCAACAGTTTACCCCAAATGCATACAACAACTATGACAGTTGAGCAGATTTTTCCTGCAGATAGGAAAAACCCAAAGACAGTTGTAAAACCACTCGTGTGACCTCTGTATTATTTTAACACATTAAAATCGCAATTGTAACAAAATGTCTGTGAATTAGAAATCCCTTAAAAAATTCAGGTTGCAAGCTTTCTCTCCAGAACTTTTGTTAGTTGGCACCGGGAAAATATTTTTGACTGATATATATTTGAACAAATCAACATCAATGAAGTTCCAAAATAAAGCTGGAATTTCCTTTCTAATGTCTCCTTAAACAGGTCTGTTTTCAGATCACAGATATGTTTTACAAATGGAGAAACTGAGTCAGAAAGACAAAGTGACTCACTATAACATATACAGGAAAGCTGGAATGACCAAATCCCCCAAAAGGCCTTAATGCATAAAAACTGCAATCCCTAGCAACTGTACTTGGGTATTCCAATTTCTGAATTTCATTTTTCCCCCCAACACTACTTTCTGTAAACTGTACAGAATTGTTTCTTTTAATGTTAATCTGGAATTGGACATCTGCCCGAGAACATGACTGAGGCCATGAAACAGAGCGGTGCAGCCCTCCACGTTGTGATGTTAAAAAAAGTAATCAAGAAAACACCTCGAAAGAGGAAATAAAAAAGGCAAACGTTTTTTTCAAGAGGCTCATACCTACAACTCTTCAGAACCGTATCAGTGTCCTTTCTAATAAGCAGAGAGTAAGATGTGATTTAACATAAATAAATAAATAGAATTCGTATAATATGAGGAAGGTATTGGGAGCATGCATTGTTGGCCCATTAACGCCTCACTTGGTGGTTGAAATCACACAGCTTTTGGCCTCAAAGCATACGAAAAGCAAGTGTTAACAACACCGAAAGTCTTCCCATCTGAACGTTCAACCTCAGGTGTACCTTAAACCACACATCTGTGCTGTGACATATACGAGCAGTATCTAAATTAAAATCCTTCAGAGACCGAGGACAATTTTGCCATTTCAGTACTTCACTTTTGATTGTTTCAATCCAGAAGCTTCTAAAGCTATACTGGAATACAAACTCACATCTCTTCAAACCGAGGACAATATTAAAGACAAAAATGACAAACGTGAATTTCTTTTTTGTTGCTGCTGGTTAAACATACAGTATGCAGTCTTTATAGTTTGTATCAAAGCACACTACACCAACCACCAAATCCTTGTGACTTCCCTTCCCCCCACCCAAACATATTTATAGTGGTGATACTAAAAGGTTCATATTTCATTTTGGAAAAAAATTAGAGGTTAGGAATTGCACTTTCACTCAGTACAATACAAACGTATGTGTCTTATCATACATACGTTTTATGTAGGAATACACAAATTAAAGAAAAAGCCTAATACTAAGATTGCATGGTACCAGGAGAAATTCTACGTCTTTAATAGAGTAACAGGTTATAATCCTGCATGCATTATTTCCCCAAGCATTAAGTTCTTTCAGCATTCCCAAACCATGAAGGCAGGGGATTACCACCCCAACGTCCAGCAAAGGTATTTCCTGGAAGGTGAACATGACGTTCACAAATGTGATTCCACCCAGAATTTGGCTGACTGAATTAGTGATCTGAATTTCCTTAGGTTGAAAAATATTACTGCTTTTAGGTTGGTAAGAGGATGGGCAGACACAGTGTGCCTATTGCAAAGGCAGGAGCTTTCCCAAATTACTACACCGGCAGACGTACCACCTTCCAGCAACCCATACACACCCCTCAGAGAAGCACTCCTGCCTCTTTCCACCCCCCGCTTCCCCGACAAGAGTGGTCTCGTTCACTTGCCTTTCACACACATAACCAATAAAATTAATCAGCTGGAACACAGCATTTTTAAATTGCACCAAAGTCAGGAGATGTTTTGTGTGTTATTTGAAGAGAACGGTCTTTTCATTTTAACAGAATAAGGCTGTAATACGCTGCAGACAAACGCGCTGCATGGGGTGTGGAGGACCCAAGCTGATTAGATTACCACAACATCAGCCTGAGGCCGCCATTTTTAGAATCTCTAAAGGACAAAAGAGGGAAATTAAAAAATTTACTCCACATTTTTTGAAAAGTAACTTTAAAAGTATGGCCATTGCAATCAATTAATTACGCGTTATAACTACGGCTGTGGATAAATCTCTCTTTTCTCCAAGCAAAGCCCTCAATAACTGCAACGTTTCATTATTATTCCTTCAATATACTGTAAATAAACACACTAACACATTCCTGAACCTAGCTGCAGCACTGAGCCCCTGCCCTCAGTGACACGGTGTGCACCATGTTAGGGACCTCCTGACTCCTGGCCACCGCGCGTCCCTAATGGCCGAGTATAGGGGGAATACAGGACCCTTGTAATCAGACTATATTATGTTTGTCTACCCTATTTAGAACCGTACAGTGAACCGTTTGTTTCCCCTCCCCTACGTCTGCAGCGACAGGGGCTGCTCCATCAGTATTTATTTCCTTATGACTAAAATCCGCCAGCCTAGCAAGGCGAACGCTGGCTACAGGCACTGAAGCAAGAAAGGGATGCGCCAATATCACTACTCACAACCCCGAGAAAGGGGGTGGGGAGAACGATCCCTATTAAATTGGCACAGAAACTCCTGAGGACAGCTTCCCTGCACCAGGTTACCCAGGAGCAGAGATAGGAGCGGGGGGCAGAGGGGAGGCGGGGGTGGGGAAGGCAGGAAGATTAGGCCTACAACGACCATTTTAGTGTCACAAAGCACAAACATACAGGATGGAGGAAGAGATCTCCCTAAGCTTCATACAACTCGATACGCAGTCCCAATAACACTCAAACCCCTTCTTAAAACCCACCCCCCTGAGCAAGGTCTGTTTTCACCTAACAGCCTCTCCCGGCTCTTTCTCCAGGCATAACGTATAAATCTGGCAGAACTGCCAAAAAATTCCCCTCAGCTCCTCCAGCTACAGTAACCCGCCATATTCACAAGCTATAGCGACAGTCTGCCATTTTTTAGCCAAAGCCCACAAAAGGAAAAACGAACGCAAGGCAACTCCGGCAGAATCCAAACCCGTTCCAGGGGCAGGCAGCCCCAGTCAGTGGGGCAGAGAGCCGTCCTACGGCGTCCACCCCCTGCTCCCAGCCCCCTCCCCCAGCACCCGGCAGAACGCGGCGGCAACGAGCACAGACTCACCTGGAATGGTGACAGGCCCACAGCAGCACACCTCAGCCGGGCCCCCTCCTATCCCAGCCCGCTGCAGCCGCCCTACTGCGGAGAGCCCTGCCCTGGGCAGGACCGACCCTCAGCACTCTGCTAAAAGAAAGAAAAGAACGGGGAGATCCCTCCTCCCCCGGCACCAGCTGAGTGCGCAGCGCCCGGCGGGGTCCGGCTGAGAAGCGCCTCTGCCTCGGGACCTGTGTACAAACCCCGCTGCCGCCCCTGCTCCCGTGTCTCCCTCCTTTCAGCCTCCTACGCTCCCTTCTATGTCACTGCCTCTCTCTGGGAAAATGGCGTCCGCTCTCCCCTCCCTCCCCCTGCACGGGGCTCACCCGCCCCGCCTGGCAGGGGCAGGGTTACCAAGGCGAAGCCAAACAGCCGCCATTTTGCTTGTGGGCTGGAGCGCGGGCTGCAGCCGCCGAGCGCTCAGTGTCCATTTTACAAAAGCTCTTTGCGCCTTAACAGAGAACGGCGGGGGCCAGGGAGCCGCTGGGGGCTGATGGGGGCGCGCGGGGCGGGGGAGGAACGGCGAGAGGGGTCCGGCGCGCGGCCCCGAACGCCGGCGGGAGGATTGACTCAGAGGCTGGTTCTCTGGGGCACCCACCCCGGCGTCCCGCTGGCGGCCGGCATCGCGCTCAGCTACGTCGGCTCGTCGCTAATCTCAAAGAGAGGGGTAAATTTTCCTCACGGAGCGCACGAAGAGCCGCACGGAGGAGCGAGGGGGGGGAGTGGGAGGTTTGAGCGGGCCCGCGTCACGGCGGTGCGGGGCTCTGAGCGACTGCCGGGGGCTGGGGCGACAACGCTCTTTTCCTCAGAGCGTTCGGGAACGGTGCTCCTTCCCCTCAGCGCCGATCCCCGTTCTCCTCCGGGAAACGGCGCAGAGGGAACGTTCGGCTTTGTGCGGACCGGGCGGGCCGCTCGGCTCCGCCGCTCCCCCCGCCACGTCCCCTCCCCGCTCTGCCCGGCCTCAGCCCCTCCGGCACAGTGAGGGAGGGGAGGCGGCGGCTGGGGTTTCATTCGACGCCCACCAGGGGCTGAGCGAGCCTCCTTCAGTGCGCAAACGCGGGGCACCGGATAAAAGCGGGGCTGGCAGCCGCTGCCCTGCCTCGATGGAGCCGCCACACGCGGGTGACCGGAGAAGCCGCTAGCGGCCGCGCCGTAGCCTAAGCGTCCCCCCGCCCCTCGGGCAGAGCTTGGGGCTCTAACGGGTGCTCTGCAGCAGGAGGGAGCCGAGGTGAAGGGATCCGCTCGGACGCAGCGGAGGCGGCTGTGGCGGGGCAGTGAGCCTGAGGGAGGAGGGGGGCGATTAAACGTCTTGTGACATGGCGGAGTCTATGGGTATTTTTTCCTGTCTAACTCTTCTGTGCGTGTGTCTCTTGTTTCTCTCTTTCTCTCTCTCCTCAGGGTGCTTGGCCGGGGCTGCTCGCTCGGGTTCTGCCTGTTGTTGCGCGAAATGGCGGCCGGCGGCTCGGTGGGTTTGGTCGTCGGTTTTTTTGTGTAATTTTTTTTTTTTTTTTTTTTCTCCTTCCCCTCCTCTTCCCCTCCCCCACTCGTGCCTCGGCTGCGCCTCCGCAGCGAACCGCGGCGGGGACTGAGGCAGGAGGGGGAGGCGGGCTCTGCGCGCATCCAATCGGCGGCCCCGCCGAGCGGCACGACGCGCCCCCATTGGCCGGCGCTGACATCATCCTGCAGCAGGGGCCGCCGCAGCCGGGCAGGGTCGGCGCTGCCGGGGGAGGTTGGTGCAAAGGGAGAAAACGGGCGCCATGATCCCAGCGCGAGGGAGGACGGCGCGGGCGGGGGATCCCCGGCGAAAAGGAAAGCGGGAAAAGGCCTCAGCTTCTCCTTCCTTAGCGGGGCCGGGAGGAGTGGAGCGGGGGAAGAGAGAGAGCGAGAGAGAGAGAGGAGCGGTTTGCGCCTGCTTTTGTAACTGCGTCAGTCCAAGATGGCGCAGGGTCTCCCTGGAGAGGGAAGGGAGCCGCACGTCCGCCGGAGGTCATGTGACCGCGCTGCATTCCTGTGGGCTTTGGCTGCCGCCCAACGCGGCTGAGGCGGCGGCGGCGGCGCTCGGGAGAGTTCGCGCTTCCCCTCCCCCAGCGCCGCCGTTGCCGCGTCGCTTCCCCTTCCCTTCCCCCCCGTAACCCCGCGCGCGAGGGCGTAGCCGCCGCTGAGGAAGGTTCTCGTCGCTCTCCCTGCTCCCCGCCCCTCTCCCGGGTGCAGCCGCGCTCGGGGGAGGCCCTCCATCCGCCCTCCGCTGCCGTAGCGCCCTCCTCGGCCTCCCCTCCCCGATGTAAGTCAGGCTCCGAGTAACCGACCGGAGGCTCTGGGCCCTGTGAAGTGACCTCATTACAGCCGTGCGGCGTCGTGGCGGAGCGTGTGGCGCTGGGGGGGGCTGAGGGAAGGGCCGGAACCTGCTCACGTCTCTGCTCTGTCGGAACGGCGCTGCTGGGTGGGAAAGGCAGCGCCAGTGTTCTGTGTGTGCTGGTGGATCCTGTCGGAGGAGCGATGTGGCACGCGTTACAGCTAGGCCGTAGAGGGCCTGCAGAGTTAGCACTGGGATCCTGGTGTGTACTTAGGGAAAAGGGGCCTGCGACGTGCAGGTGCTGCGAGCTCCCTTGTCTTGCTGCAGAAGGATGTGGTAGTACGAGTCTGACCTAGGATTTCATTGCGTTAAAATATATTTTCTGGCTCTGTATTTTATCTCAGGATTCGGGGGGAGGGGAGGGTGAAAAATGTATATTTTCCAATTCTAACCCGTCTTTCTTCTCGAGGGGCATGGCCCATTGTACTGGTCGGGTGGGCTGCTCATGCTTTTGGGGCAGTTTGGTGCTGGTTCCCACATCTTGTTTTTGTGTGGTACAACGTAAAGTGAGCCTCTGCACTTGACCCAGCAAACAAACTTAACATCTACAATTGCTGAGGCAAATGATGGTGATTTGTTACATTTAGAAACGTCTGGCAGCACTTTTCCAGATGTTAATATGTTCAGTGGTGTGGTTTGTTTCTTTTCTGTGCAGTGGCAACCTGGTGAGGTATGAAGTTTCAATTTCTGGTGGATGCATTGTGTTAAAACGACTGGAATGGAAGTTACTGAGTATGTGACTAATGTAGAAGAATCCTGTATAATAGACGCTACTTAATGTGTTACATAAGTAACGTGAGGTGGAGCCTGGTTGCATAAGAAACGGCTGGGGATGGGGAGCTGCTGTACGCAGTCCATATTAGCTGCAATTAGAGCCTGCAGGGTATGTGTGCCAGGGAAGGGAGCAGTGGGCTTGGGAACATCTGATAGTGCTGCATTTTTCCTTTGTACCAGGAAAGAAATGGAGACAGTAATAAAGGATGACAGTGCAAAGCTTTTTCAAGTTTGGAATGTCCTCTGAGCTTAACTTCTGTGATGTACACTGTTTCCTGAAAGAAACACCCCTTTTTTGAATGTCAGATGGTGGCTGTCAGCTGAGCCTTGTAGCAGCCAGTTCTGTGCAAGATTCTTGATCCTAGAGATTGTTAACACTATTCAGAAAAATGAAGCACTGGAAATAGTGCTTAGGAGGAGGTGGTTGGTTTGTTGACCAAACATGTAAGTGACTGGAACGTTGTTTCTTTGTGTGTAGTCATACTATAGCACAAGGTAAATAATCCCTTTGCAATAGAATCTTCTAGAGAAGATTCTAGAGCACAGTGATTCTTAGGAGATAGAACAGATTTTATTTGAGACCTGACATGAATATTTCCTTGGATACGTACTAGTGGAGAACATTAATATGGGCTGAAGATGACAAAAAACACATTTCTACTTCATTAGAGCTTGCATTCTGTGATTACAGAGTGGGGAGTAGTTATCTATCTCACTGTAAGGGAACAATCTGAATAATTATGTTCTTGTATAAGTAACTCACATAGAATACTCAGAAATCAAAAGTTTCTCTGTGGTAGAAAGCTTTAATTCCTAAATAAACCTTTTAGGCAGCTCTTTTTAATACCTGATTTTGTTTTAGGAATCAGGAGGTAGACTTTCTTAAAAGTTCTGTGTAATGGGTAGCTTGTTGTGGAAGCACTTGAACTGTGGAGTCTTTATGTTCTTGTGGAACAACAGGAATGAAGGAATATTCTAATAATTTTGTTTGTTTCAAGCAGTCTTGTTAGCTGTTTTCAGGGAAGGAATGTCTTTGAGAAGTGATAACTCTGGTGGTGTTGCAGCGTGGTTTTGAAATTATGTCTATGATGTGTTCTGAAATTACTTCAGCTGTGGATGAGTAACAGCAAATGCACGTGCTGCTTTGGGACAAACCTATGGGAAAGGGATTTGCTTGAAGGCCAGTCTGTAAGCTGTGCCTTTATCTGGAAGGTACGGGAAAAAGGAGCCGTAGGAGAGGGAGGTGTTAAAAGAGTAGTTTGTATTTATGGTAGCCAACCAGGGAGAGGAACAGTTTCTACTTAACTGTAGTTCTTCCCTTTTACTGAGGGCATTTCAATTGACTGCTTGTTCTCTAGCAGTTAGACTTGTGGTTCTGCCTTGCTGCACTAGCCTGTCTGTGCGTGTGTAAGTGGTTTGTGCTTTTGCTCAGACCTGTTATTTAAACAGTACAGTTTACAGTACTACTCATACAAAGGCTGACAAGAGTTCAAGGGTACTTAGAGGAGAAGGGAGAGGGGGATACGAAACGTAATAGATCCGAGTGTGCATTAATGCCATAGTTGAAGCAGTGCTCATGCTGAAAGATGATCCTGTACCTCTTCCCAGCTGTTCATTCTTGCTTCTGTGCTGCCTTTTTTTTTTTTTTTTTTTTTTGTAATGGCACAAGTGTTCATGTGGGAAGTGGCATAGGAGAACAGATTTAGTGTAAGCCTGATTATAATGGATCGTTTTTTAATGTGAACGTTGGCTGCTTGGATTCACAAACACTCCTACTTGAGCAGGAATAGGAAGAAGCAGCTGCAGGGAGAAAGAATGGAGATGTACAAGTTTTACCTGCTTGGGGTTTTTTTCCTCATTAAAGAGGCAATTCTTAAGGAATCAAAGGGGCAAATCCTAAAGGCACTTGACCTACAGAGTCAGAATCAGTATAATCCTTGCCTAAGGAGTCAGGCATATTTAAAAAAACAAACAAACAAGTGTATGTAAGGCACTACTAGGCTGACCTGCAGTTACAGGGCCTGCAGGTGGCGGGGTCATTTCAGATGCATTGGTAGGATAACCTACAAAAATGACTAGGCTAAAGCTGGGAAAGAAGAGTTCCAGTTAAGAGTTCGCAGGATTTTGGACTTAATAAGCTTATTTTATTGAAATGGCATGGAACTTGAGGAAGGCTTTCTTGCTCCTGAAGTGACTGGTAATCTAGTAACTGGGCTGTTCGGTGAAGAATTAGTTGTACTGGAAGAGTTCTAAGCTAATCTTTGAAAAGCTTGTGGTCTCAGTGGGTTACAAGGGTCATTTGTCAAATTAATGTGTGTTACTTGCTTATATGACCAGTGACTTTTTACTGAGTGGAAACCAATCAGTGTCACCAGATATTTCCACCTGGATTTGGAAGGACTCTTTGAACAGCAGCAGGACAGGAGCATCCTTTGCATGCAACCTGAGGCTTAGTGTTAGGATAAGCTTTTTTGGGGGAAAAAAAAAAAAAAAAAAAAAAAAGTTGACTCAGAAGGAGTAGCTGGAGTTTTCTATGGAAGAAGGAGCAGGTGTTGGCTGGCAGTAAAAATAAAAAATATAATAAAAGTAGTTGAGAGGGGCAAGCTTACACTTGTTGTGTTGACAGCTTCTGAGGTTTAATCAGTGTTTGCACTGGTCCAGCATGCTGGTGGGGCCTTCTTAATGTGTGAGGTAGTATTCTCTCTTGATTATATACTGCTAGCCCAGAAGGCCTGTCAATAATAGTTCTTTGAAGATGCTGGAAATTGTCAGCAAGTGGATTATTCCTCAGCTGGTATAAAGGTACAAGTGGGAGAGGCACAACAGTGGTTCTTTCTGGTTTGTAGGAAGAAAATGGGAAATGCTGCTTCTTGAGAGTTAGGCTGTGCTAGAGTGAGGAAATTACAGAGCTGTGGGCTCCAGGATTCCGGAACTGCAGCTCAAGGTGATCCTGTCACAGGGAGAGCAAAGAAGTGTTTCTCTTGTTTGGAAGCTTGGGAACCAAACAAAGCTTTTGTACTTGGTGGTTACAAAGTGTTGTACTGAATGGGCTCCTTACCTCTGCTGAAACTGCTTAGAGTGACTTGTATGGAGGCAGCTTTTTTTCAGAGGGATGGGGAACAACCAGCGAAACAAGACCTCAGTTTCCAGTCAGTTGACCACTTGTGGTCAAGCATAGAAATACAGTTTGACAGCTTGTTAATGACGTGCAGATATGCAGCATTTCTTTTTCAACAGTGAAGTGCAACTGGAGTGCAGCACTGCCTAATGTCTCCAGAAAGGATTAACTTCAGAAGACTGCTGTAGTCCTGGTCAGCGTGGCCTATTCAGAAGTACAGAATTACGATGGCTGAATGCTATATTCAGACTGGGAAGCTTTCTGGCTACAATCATGTTTCCTTCTTGCTAACCTCAGTGGGTTGGCAACTAATGAAACTTTGTGTTGGTGAAGCTTGTGATACACTTCTGTTTGGTTGATTGTCATATGTTCAGGTCTTTGGTAGGTGCTGGGTGCAGTGCTAATAGAGTTGCAATATACCAAACCCATACAAGTCCAGGGCTTACTTGTGCTCAGATCTGGGGTGTCACTATCAAAACTAGTGGGGAAGAGCTGTATGGAAAATAGGTACTTGGCATCTAGTTCTGTCTTGTTCCTGCCCTGGCTGATTAGATCACTGGTTCCCTAAATTTAAGTGAAGTGAAAAATGAACTGGAGATTTATAGTTGTGCTGCTTTTAGTGTAACCTAAGCTGTAGCTTTGGTCAGTCTTTTACCAGGGTAATTCTCTTCTAAGTGCTGAACTGTGGTATTTGTGCTGTTTGATTTTGGGCCATAATGTTTGTACTGCTGTCTTATCTGAGACAGGAGAAGATGTCCCTCCAGAAAAACAACAGGCCTTCTAAAATTAAAAGACTTCCTAAGAGCCTGTTTTTTAATGCTGTTACTACCCCTGTACTGATTTAGAAGGCTGCTTTTTGACGAAATGAAACTGTTGGTTTTGTCAAGGTAATACTGCACACTGAATTTGTCTCCAGAGCTGCATGCCATCAGCTCAGTACTCAATGCTGGAGCAAGCATATCGTAAGCTTATAAAGGCATGCTGGCCAGTTGTGAGATCCTATTTTTAAACTGCTTCTGAGAAACACTTCTGTCTA